CTGTCGGCGGTGCTCAACAAGCGGCCGCCCTCCCCGCCCACCGACACGCCCACGGACCTCAGCAAGAAGTCCCGCCACGAGGGGCTGCCCACGGACCTGCCCGCCTCCACGCTCCTGTGCAGCCAGTGCAACGCGCCCTTCACCAACTTCGAGGCCTTCCGCAGGCACCTCAAGACCCACCTGGAGGGCGTGGAGGCGGCGGCGACGGCGGGCGCGGCGCAGATGGCGTGCCCCGAGTGCCGGCTGCCGCTGAGCTCGGAGGCGGCCCTGGAGGCGCACCTGGCCACGCACCTGGGCGCCACGGCCACCGAGTACGGGTGCCAGGCGTGCCTCAAGCTCTTCTCCAAGCCGGACGAGCTGCAGAAGCACCTCATGGACATCCACGCGCACCACCTGTACCGCTGCGCGCTGTGCAAGGAGATGTTCGACTCCAAGGTCTCCATCCAGGTGCACTTCGCCGTCAAGCACAGCAACGAGTGCAAGGTGCACAAGTGCACGCGCTGCTCGCTCATCTTCCGCTCGCAGTCCGAGTTCGAGGTGCACATCCGGGCGAGCCACATGCGGCGCGGCATGGGCGTGGGGGAGGCGGTGCCCGGGGCGGCAGCCTAGGGGGGTCGGGGGGGTCTTACCGCTGCCTGCTGTGCACGCTGAGCCTCAGCTCGGAGGCGGAGTTGGCGGCGCACGTGGCCACGCACCAGCGCCAGTTCCAGTGCACGCTGTGCGACGACGCCTTCCACGTCGAGTTCCTGCTCGACAAGCACATGCAGACGCAGCACAACTCCGAGCTGAACGGCAACGTGCCGCAGCCCGAGAACCTGGTCAAGCCGCGCCGCAGCCCGCACAAGAAGGAGCTCAAGTGCGACATCTGCGACGCCGAGTTCTCGAGCGACTCGGGGCTGCTCGCGCACCGCAAGCAGGCGCACAACATCAAGAGCGGGGCCGGCGGCGCGGGCGCCAAGGTGGCGGCGGCGTCCCTCAGCCTCTTCTGCGCCTACTGCAGCGAGGCCTGCAAGTCGCGCAGTGACCTCGAGGCCCACATGAAGTCGCACCAGGGCTCCGGGGGGCGCCACAAGTGCAACATCTGCGACGAGCTGTGCCCGTCGGCGGCGCTGCTCGCCCAGCACAAGCTCACGCACGTCAAGGTGGTGAGCGGCAGCGCCTGCGCCGTGTGCCGCGAGCCCCTCACGTCCGAGCAGCAGTTCAGCAGCCACCAGAGCGAGCACCACCCGGCCCCGCTGCCGCAGCCCTGCGTCGTCTGCCGCCAGACGCTCGTCACCGACATGGAGGTGAGTGTGCACGCGCGCTTCCACGCTGCGCAGGCTGCGCAGGCTGCCGCTGCCGCGTCTGTGGCCTCCAGCGGCCCCTTCAGCAGCTCTGAGGCCGTGCAGCCCGTGTCCCTTGCCTCCATGATCACCACCACGGCCTCCAGTGCAGCTGCCACCGCCAGTAGCAACAGCAGCAGCAGCCGCGGCAGCAGCAGTCCAAGACAGTCGCCCTCGCTGCGGTGCCCCGAGTGCCACCTCAAGCTGGAGACCATGGAGGAGGCCGAGGCGCACGCGGCGGTGCACCAGCAGCAGCAGCAGCAGGGGTATGGGCGTTCAGTGGCGCCGTCTTCGCGCACATATCAATGCATTAAATGCCAGGAGAGCTTTGCCTCGGAGGCAGAGATTGAGGCGCACGTGGCTTCGCACCTTCTGCACGAAGGCTCCGTGCACGAGTGCCACCTGTGCCGTGCCACGTTCGACACGCCGCTGCGCCTCCAGTGCCACCTCATCGAGCACACGTTCGAGGGCTGCGGCAGCTTCACGTGCTACATGTGCTCGTCTGTGTTCACCACGGCCTCGCGGCTGCAACAGCACATGGTGGAGCACGGGCTCAGCGCGCGCCCCTACGACTGCCACCACTGCCACCAGCGCTTCTTCTTCCGCGCGGAGCTCGAGAACCACGTGCTGTCTCACCCCGAGGCGGCAGAAGGCAGCTGTCGCGAGTGCGTGGCCAGCTTCCCCGAGCTCCCGCGCCGCAGCCACCGCCGGCCGGCCCTGTCCGCGCTGGGCCCCGCGCAGCACATCCTGGCGGGGCACGCGGCCCAGACGCGCCCCGCCTCGCCCTGCTCCGCCTGCGACGGCGACACGGCCGACGGCGCCGCGGCGTCCGCCAACGGGCTCTCGGCTGCCTCAAGCAACGATGCCAAGGAGAAGTGAGGCGAAGGGGGCGGTGCCAAGCCCCAGCGCGTGCCCGGTGTTGCTGCGTCGGCGAAGCGCCCTTCGGTGACGCTGACGGTCACGGCGGTCCTGGGACACGCCGGCGACGACAAAGACGAAAGGAACGAAGTTTCTTAGCTGTTATTTATTATTTTCTATTTTATTTATTGTCATTATGATTTTCGTAATTTGATAAGGACTCCTCGAAGTGGTCATAGTGCTGCACTGTGCGTACACCAAATATATTCGTAGAAGGCTCCAGGCCAGACCCGAAGCCGCCGGCGCGAGGGCCTCGACGGCCTCCTCGTGCGCTCGGCTTCCCTTCGGCCGCGTGTCTGGCCGAGCTTCGGAGGCCGAGCCGCCGCCGCCACCCGCATGGGGAGAGTGCAACTCCTCCTGAAGAATCCCCATTTGTCCAGTATGTGATAGTTAAAACAAAAAAGTTTAAAAATGAATAAAAAAATAAGACAAGGAATTGTTAGGTATTTTACTCGAGGGTATGAAAGTACAACCTGGTCTCTTGAAGGACTAGATAGCTCATTTATACGATATCCTCATCTCATTAGATGCTCCTCTCTCACTAGCCCCCCCTCCCCTCGGCCCGTCTTCACCCTTCCCGTTGTCCGGGCGCCCCTCGGCCTCATCTCCTCTTAACCCCCCTCTGCTTACCTCTGCCCCCTTCTCCCTCCCCGTGACGGTGTGCATTCCCCTCCTTTGTGTTCCATGCCAGTGAGTGCGATGGACGGCGAGAGTGAATTTGTTCTACAGGGTATCTCTACCAATTTATTTCCCCCGAGTGTACATAGTCGAATGTTATTTATGTTTTCGCTAACATCTGTATATTTTTGCCCATCCTCCTCTCTTTTTTTCCCTCTTCCTCTTCCTCCCTCTCCTCCAATCCTTTACACCCCTCCCCCTCACCTTCCTGTTAGTGTTCCATAGACGTGGTATATTTCCCTTTCTTCCCTTTTTCTTAAAGTGGAAATCTCCCTTTTTTCATTCTGTGTAAAGGGGGGGAAGGGAGGGAGGGAGGGGGATGTTTGTTTACCTCTTGTTTCTTTTTCTCCTTTTTCTTTGGGAATAAAGGCTCATCATTTTTTGGAAGAAAAAAGATATATCCCTTTAATAAAAGAGTATTTGATATTAGACTCTTTGCAAATGCTGAAGTTGTCACATGATGATCGTTAGCATCTTGGTGCTGGGAGTTGGATGTTGAAACTATGATGATTTTTTTTCTAAACTTGAATGTTGTAATAAAGTTGTTTGACCAATGATAATTAGGAATAGTTATTTGCCGGTCGAAACCCCAGTGTGCGCGGATGTTTTTTCAAGATTTTTTCGAATATCACTGTGAACAGTTTACATGAAACAAAGTGTGCATTTATTTGTTAAAGATTGAGATTCAAGTGGAATCTTTATGTAAATTAAGTGGAATAAAATTTCACTATAAACTTTGTGGTTTTCTTGTATTTTCCCCTTTCTTTGTTTTTTTACTATTTTGATTACATACGCACACACACACACACACATACGCACACACACACACACATACCCACACACATACACACGTACCCACACACATACACATACGTACACACATACACATACGTACACACACACTTACACACACACACACACCCGTACACAAATCCACAATCGTACACACACACATACACACATACATACACATACATGCATGAGCTTTCATAAAAATATTTAAAGTTACATTTTCAAAATATTTAAAATAACAGAATCAGACAAGATTTCTCAACATGCGTGATTTTCAAACGACAAAGGTAGATGTTTATGGCAAGTCAAGATTCAGACAGGTTATATAGAGAATTAGAGACAATTGACAAAGGCAAAGAGAAAGACAAAGTAGAGAAGGACTGAGAGGAAGAGAAAGAGAAAAGGAGAAACAAACGTAAACAGAAAGAGGAGACCAAGACAGAGACAGGAAGGTAGAAAATAAGTAGATGGGAAATGACGTGGAAAGAGAAAAAAAAAAAAAAGATGAAACAGGAATATGAAAGAAGAAAAAGAAAAGGAAGGATGAAATTAAAAACGGAAGAGAAGAGGACACAAATAGACGAATGAATGGAAAGAAAAATAGAGAAAAAATAACAGAAAAGGCGAAGGAGAAATGCAAGTCAACGCAAAAGCCAACAGGAAATAAACAAAATATAAATTCTCATTCTTACCATCCATCCGTCTGTCCTTTTCTTGATCTCTCTTTTTTACAAATATATCAATACTTCTTTGAAACACAGATTATCCGAAGAAATTTATTCAATCGGTATCATACAAAAATCCATCTCTATGTATGACACATAAAACACAACAATAATATAAAACAACAATAAAGGTTATATTACTATTTAAACCTGATATCATCTACAATTATCATGTTTTTCCTTTTATCAAGAGTATAATACAAACTTAAGAAAACAACAGAAAATAAGGGTAACAATCTAAAAACAAAATCAATAGTTATTCTTAACAGTGTTATAGAATAAGAGTAAAAAATCATGCATGCTTTCACTTCTGCGTATGCTTATCTATGTCAGTCAATCAGTCTATTCATGTCTACCTATCTATCTATCTGGGTGTGCGTGTACATCTATATACATGGGAGAGAGGGAGGGAGGAAAAGACGAGAGAGAGTAAGGAGAGAGAGAGAGGGAGGGAGGGAGAGAAAGAAAGAAAGAGAAAGAGAAATGAATGAGAGAGGAGATAGGAGGGAAGGGTTAAGGGAGAAATGGAGAGGAGGAGGAGAGGGGAGGGAAGGTGGGAGAATGAGAGAGAAAGAGAGAAAAGAAACAAACAAACTAAGAGAGAGTATGTGTATTTAGTAATGCAAATATACTGTATATAATGTAATTACTCCGTTGTGTATATTATTAGCTGTTTGTTAATTTGGCAATACTGTTTATGTAGGTATAAAGGTTGTCTAATAAAATCTAGCATTCATGCATAAAATTCTAATCATCCTAACCGCATAAATACAAGATCTAGAATATCCTATCACCAAAGTTAAAGCTAAAATGATTGGAAGTCTGCCTCGGTTCTTGAATAAGATACCCCTCGAATTTCCCATCCGTTTTCTTTGGTCGGCCCGTTTTCTTTGAATCGCTCTTCTTTTTAGGGGAGACAAAATGCTTCTCGTAATAATCGTCGTGCCGCTCCATCATCTCGGACATGAGGGCGTGAGGCTTGGTGAGGTATGGATGGCTGTGCGCACCTTCGTCGTGTAAGCCTCCGGAAGCCCCCGCATTACCTGTTAGGGCGGGGAATGCGATGCGGACAAGGGGGTGGGGGAGAGAGGGGGAGACAGAGAAACAAGTAAGTGTGGATTTTGGACGTCCTGGAATGGATAGAAAGACAGATATGGCAAGGGATGGTGAATATTCATTTCATGAGTTGTTAAGACATTGCGTATGTAATCGTACTGGAGGCAGAAGCAAAGTAGGGTTGTCAAATTAAATAGGATTGTAGCAGAATTACTGATAAATAATGTTGCCAAAACAAGCCAAAGCACTAATCACACATGATCTTATAGATGAAGACAGAAAAATGTAATGTTTAAGATAAAGACAGTAAAGTGAAGCACTTAGTAGATCAGCCTTTGAAAATTTGCAAAACTAAACATGTTAAAACTTACCCTTAATCTGCATGTAGTCAGTTCAGGAGGTAAGGAACGTTAGGTACAGATCTATGTACAATAACGAAAAGAAGTAGTTTATGAACCAAGGAAAACATGCATAAAAGTTGTATTAAACATATAGATATTTACACACAAGCACGCAAACGTAAATACATACATATATGCATTAGAAATATCGCCTGACATTCTGACTACTTCATGAGGTGATTTTAGCAAAGGTTCGGTTAATTTTATACGATTTTTTTCCATGAAACAGCTTTACCTACATTACTGTTTTTTTCTGTCAGACTCGACACGAAATATTGGATCACAAGGACATCAATGATGTATAAAAATCATTAACAGTATCTCGTGATCCATGCACAAGTATTCATATGTCAAAATATATCCAAAATCTTAGCGTCTGTAGTTCCCACAGGATCACAGTCTTCGCCAGAGAACCAAACAAGAAGAATTAATTAGTTTTGTCTTTGTCATTTCTGTCACTTGACTTGCCTTGTATAAGCGAGACTTTCGAAAGGTAGATTTTGACGATCGGACTGAAACTAGATTTCAAATTTATCCCGTATATTTATCAGTATAATACACTCTACTCTTTTTATATATATTGGGCATTATCAAAGCAGTGAATGCAAACATCAAAAGTTTATAAGCACCATAAAGCATTATTAAAAGTATTCATTTCCTTAAATTGATAACTTTATCACAGTTGCAAAAATAGTTCGCTTTACGACTATGGAACACTGACAGCAATTGTGAAAAGTATTTTTCTCTATTACAAAATGATTCCCTACTTCACTTCTTTTTATCAAAATCGATATTAATCCTTAACAAACTTGGGCATTTGTATGAAATAAAAATTAAACAAAATACCTTTTCGTCCATACTGGAACCAAGTTCATTATCCTTATAGGCTTATATTAAACAAATACAATCCAATTAATTCTTAAAAGGACCATTATATCCGAAAAAAAGTCTTATATATCGGCTCCCTCTTTTGTCAGTGTTGCAACAGACGTGATATTGACTGGCCCTCGTTTGTAATACTGAACTACTTAAAACCATCACAGAGCTGTTACTTATACTTGTTTATATACATATGTGACATAAATGAATTAGAAAAAAAATCCATGATTCTACGATAGCTGATCAAAAAGAAGTAATGATATGTATGGAATAATCCTATGGAGATATCAATGATGTATTGGTTTTTCTTTTAACTTAAAAAATTCCTTTCTTCTGTAGAATAATGGAGTTTTCATTAAAAGAACTATGTATATACATTTCCCAGACAATAAAACCCTCAACATACGCCACCGGGGAAAACACTGACTTAAATCATTTAGAAATTGTACATTTACATCAATCATCTCTGAAGATATCACATTTAAATAAATGCAGTAATAATAATGATAAAAAAACACTGAAACATTGCCGGAGATATCACACAGATAAATGCAATAGATAAAGCATTAAGCCAAAAGGTGATCAGAATAATTAACCTAATTGCTTATTTCTATATTTATGATCTCTTTAAATATTCAAATTCACCGAAGAAACTGACTGAAAATGCAGGAATGATATACAATAAAAAGGGGGATACGAAAATATGTGAAATTAATTCTAGAATTTTCTGTCGACTTTGGACTTTCTTACTTGTGTCTTTAAACATTTACAAAATTAGATAGCTTTATAGTTCTTCAAGAAAAATAGTTTATGCAATATATATATAAATATATATTTTTCTGTCTTTATTCAGAGCTGCACCCCCAAAAAATGCTCTACCATTTATATGAAATAGTGACTTCTCTCTATATGTACGTATTTATGTATGAATGTGTGTGTGTGCGTTCGTGTGCGTGTGCGTGTGCGTGTGCGTGTGCGTGTGCGTGTGTATGCATGTGTATGTGTGTATATATGTATGTGTGTATATATGTATGTGTATATATGTATGTGTGTATATAGGCATGTGTGTATATATGTATCCGTGTATATATGTATCCGTGTATGTATGTATATATACACATATATATACATACGCACACACACATACATTTATATGCAAATCTGCAGACGCAAGCGAAATCGTTTCCTGAAATGGGCAAAATGCGCCGGCCACAGATATCAAAGCAGCTAGAAACTTGAGGTATATTTGACAAGAGTTTATCAACATCAAAATATGTCACGAGGCCATAATCATCCTCAAATTATTTGCATTATTTACGAGAATCTATGGCACACGACTCTTTCGGGGGAATGTTCCACATCTATAAAAATATATATATACAATCAGATCCTCCTTCTATCCATAAATATAAATCTTTACTCTAAAAATAATAATAATAATGATAATGCCATCTCCCATCTCTCAACCACTTAATTAGCCAATATACAAGACGTAAACACAATACGCACAAAACACAAAAACAAAATACAAACACACACAAAAAAATAATAATCTCAAACCACCACAAAAATGACCATCCTTCAAAATTTAAATCTCAAATCTTCCCGCCAAAACCACCACCATTATTGCCAACACCACAGCGCCAAGAAATCCCTGAGGTCGGCCAGCAGTACTACCAGGACAGAGGTCGTTGGAGTTGATGTAGAGAATCCGATTTTCCAATCCCTGGTAGATGGGCGTGTTCAGCATGATGTACTGCGAGAAGGCATCCGTGTCGAGCAGGCCTGAGGAATTGGGATCGGTTTAGTATTATCGACTTTTCTGTTTTTTTTTTCTGTTTCTGTTTTTTTTATCCTGAAGTCATCCTTTTCTGCTTTTTTTTTATCCTCAGTATTATCGACTTTTCTGTTTTTTTATCCTTACTGCGTTTAACATCACTATCTTATTTCATCATTTCATCATTATCATTTTTTTTTTTCTGTCAAGAGATGGACAGTATCACGAAGCATGTATGGGCGACATATATCGATCGATAGTTTTGTACTGCTGTATTGTATAATATGAAATATGTATAATGTGTAATGTGAAATAAAAATGAATATGAATGTGTATCACTGCATAAAACCTGTGTGTAAATATGTGAGAAGCCGGAGGAAAATAAATAGGAGAGTAGTGGGACGATGGACGAGGAGAATAAGTGGAAGGAGAGTGATGAGAAGGTGGAGAAGGAAGAGAAATAATGGTGGAGAACGAGAAGTGGTAGTAGCAGTAGTGGTAGTAGGTGAAGTATAGCATAGTAGTAGCAATTGTAGTGATATAAATAGCTGTAGTATATGGAGTGGAATGAAGAGAGGAATGGTGGAGAAGGAGAAGTGATAGTGGAGAAGGAGAAGTGATGGAGTGGAATGAAGAGAGGAATGGTGGAGAAGGAGAAGTGATAGTGGAGAAGGAGAAGTGATGGTGGAGACGTTATGGTGGAGAATAAGGAGAAGTGATAGTGGAGAATGAGGAGAAGTGATGGTGGAGACGGAAAGTAACGAAGGAGGTGGAGTAGTAGTAGTAAAAGTAGCAGTAGTAGTGGTAGTAGTAGTAGTAGCAGTAGATAGTTGTAGCAATAGCAGTCGTAATAGCAGCAGTAGTAGTAGCAATTGTAGTAGCAGTAATAACATTAGTATAAGGAGTGGAAGTAAGAGAGGAATGGTGGAGAAGGAGAAGTGATGGTGGGGAAGGAGAAGTGGAGTAGCGAAAGTAGTAATAGTAGTGGAAATAGATAGTAGTATATAGTAGTATATAGTAGTATAGTAGTAGAAATTATAGTATAGTACAGTATAGTAGTAGCAATATGGAGTGGGAGAAAGAGAAGTGATGGTGGAGAAGGAGGAGGAGAGGAATGGTGAAGGAGAATATCAATATCCTGCAACGCGTGATAATGGTAGGATCAGTTAACTCGATTTAATAGTCCTAACACTGATAAAGAATTACAGTATTACAGTAAAGAATTCAATGCTATTTCCAACACAAAATACCACATATTAAAGTATAGTCTGAAAACGTTTGGGGCGTTTTACACTAGAATATTTGAGTTGACCCTAAACCATACGCCGTTTTCTTTTGTTCCATAACAAATACTATTGAATTACTGCATCTGAGAGACTGTGAATCTGCTCAGTTTGGCGCGCGGGAATAACGAAATGTAAAAGGAAAAATATCTCAATAAAAGAATTAAAACCCAAATCAAAAGGGCTTATTGAGTAATAGTAGGAACATTGGTTGAAAAAAACGACATAATGATGATAATAATAGATAAAGGCGATGAAGACAATGATGGAGACAAAGATGAAGAAGATAAAGATGATGAAGATAAAGATGATAAAAATAAAGATGATAAAGATATATATGATAAAGATATACTGTAGGTGAAGATGATAAAGATAAAGATGATAAAGATTTGAAAGATAATGATGGTAAAGATGATCATAAGGATGATGATGATAAGGATGATAGTGATAAGGATAAAGATGATGATAATGGCGATGGCGATGATGACGACGATGGTGATAAAGAGAAAGGGCCCCACCTGTCAAATGATGTTCGACCTTGTTATCCCGAATGACCTCGTATCCGTCGCCGCCATTGGCCAGGTAGGACGGCATGGCGACCTGGTACACCTCGTCCTCCTTCACGTCTTTCATTTCGGGCACTCGGCACGACACGCACCGGGCCTGGAGTCGTACCACGCGCTGCCCGACGGGGAGGTTGAGGTCGTACACCACTACGAATCCTGGGGGAGGCGGGGGGAGAGTACGATCAGTGAAAATGGATAAAATTGACGGGGAAAGTTTTGTTGGTGTTTGCTACTTCTGCGTGTTTCGTTATTTCGTGTTTTCCCTGGAATCGTTGCTAGCTAATTATATTTGATGCGGTATCTATTCTAATGCTAA